CCTGCCACTTTATGTAGTCCGCCCGAATGACAGCTATGGACAACGCCTCTTCAAGTGCCACCGAGATACTAGATGCCCTTTCGCTGAAGTATAACAGGGCGAGACAGGTAAAAGGAGAAAGCAGAACAGACATATCGAGAAAAGAATAAACGATAAGTTGAACGAATTGGTGGCTCACCAATCCACGATCGGACACTTTGGATAAGTAGATTTGTCCACCACCTTGGTCGTCACTTCAGCCATCACTTCTACCGCCATTTATGCCATCCAATTCGTGTGATCCTCGATACACACCCGTTGGCACACCTTTCTCCCATTCGCAGTCGAAAATTACGCTGGAGCTTATCGAAATTATATCTGGTGCGAACGCCTTGTAGCGCGCTCGTAATGAGGACAGCCTATCTGTTCATACGTGAAGTGCGGTCGGACATTCTCTCTCGGAATGAACCATTTGTCGATGTGCGGACTTATGACCTCACTGTTACGCGAATGTAATACCACGTAAACATAGCCCCGTCTGGAGAGGATATATTTTTTTTTTTTTTTCCCCACGCGTCAACTCAAGGACACATACGTGACAGAAAAGGACACACGAAAATGGAAACAAAAAAACACATACATAAAGGTGTCTTTTGTTTTGAGATTTTTTATTTTTTTTCTTGTTGAATAACTTCGGCTAACTGTGGACACTTAGAAGCCAAGTGGTTTTACATATAAATGTGCACACACGCTGTACACTTTTTGCGTAAATAATTTTATTGGGCTTCCGCCACGGGGGACGCCCCTTTGTGTATTTACAACGGCAATTCTGCGAAGCTGCCCCAGCAAAACTAGTTATCCGTGGTGAAGTATAAAAAAAAGGCAAAGAGGACGGGATAAGAAAAATCTGATTTAATGGTAACATGCCTATAAAGGCACTGCGAATTTGATTCTTCAATTTGGGCGTAAACTTATGCTGTACTTCCAACGCCACAATCTAACAAACACCCCAAGGTGTTGTGTGCGGGCAGGTAAACATACCACACAACCAGCTCATTGCATGGTGTATTGCTTTACAACTTCTCTTCATGTTGCATTCGAGAGAAAACACTCGTTTGCTTCTTTGCAGATCTCTTTCTCGTATTTCCATCACAAGGGTAATTTTTTCTTTTTTTCTGTGCAAAAATGGGGAAAAGAAATCAATCAAAATGAAAAAAACAAAAAAGAAAAAAAAAAAAGCGAATTAGAATAAACAGGTGATACGTAAAAGGTTTTTCCCTCAAACGGATGAGGTACGCTTTCACTTGAGTGTATTACCAATAATTGCTGCGCATAGTTTCTTAACATGTACGCAGAAAAACAGGCGGCCGCTTCACGTGGCAGTACAGCGGAAGGAGAAAATCCACAGTTCACACATCGCGCATTTCGGTGTACAAAAATCAGTGGAAGGTGAATAATCCAGGCGTTTTTTTTCTTTTCTTTTTTTTTTTTGTCACCTTCCATTTCCGCTCAGCAGTTAGGAGATTATCACCTGAGGTGACGTATGCCCACAAATATATGTACCATAAGCGGCATGTATACTCCCCTCCATTCTATGTGAGCGCATCTTCCTGTACAGTGGGGGCATTCATAAGAACAGAGGGTCGTTTCGGCCACCCATTTGGGCGATAGCCTTTTTGAAGCAGTTTTCCCCCATTGTTACGCCCTCACTTTTTTGCTTTTCCACTTTTGGGTCACCTCCCATCAGGTGAACGAGCTCCTGGTGGTCACCCCTTCTTCGTCATACATAACAGAGAGCGCGATTTGGAAGAAGCAAAAATTTAGGTGATTTTCCAACTCTGCAAATTATTTAATTGCAGCTGCCATGCGAGTTCGTCCTCACTGTGTAGCCTAGCGGTATTTTTCCCCTCGCTCGGCCGCGTATGTTTTTTTTTCCCCGTGCTGGGAAGTAATGAAGTAGTAGGAATCTTGTTTACACGGCAGTCACAGGGGAGCTCAGCGTGAAATTCCGTCCTTCTCTTCCCCAAGAAGCACGTAACCCAGAAGGCCATTATTTTCGCCCGTCGAAGATCCTCTCCCCCTCCAAATACCGTATGGCACAACTTCTCAGAAGCACTAGGGCGGTGTTTAGAGAAGATTTGGAAGGAAAAAAACAGAAACAAAGAACAAGTAAAGAAGAAGGGTAGAAACGTAGGAGGACCCTCCATCCCATAAAGGGAATAAGTCGCCTTGAGTTGGAGACGGGGACCCCCGCCTGTAGCTGCGTTCTCTGACCCCCTCGCCGATTTGTTCGTGGTATCGCCACACCTAGAAAGATGGCGTGCATAAGCGCCATTTTCATCATCGACATGAAGGGGAAGGTGATCATCAACAGGAACTATCGAGGCGAAGTGAACCTGAATCTAACGGACGTATTTTACAATTGCGTAATCGATCAGGAAGACAATCTGATAAAACCCATATTCCACGTGAACGGGCTGACCTATTGCTGGGTGGCATATAACAATATATACATCCTGGCGGTAACGAGAAAAAACAGTAATGCCACGTTGATCATCACATTTCTGTACAAACTAATCCATGTCCTGAAGGACTATTTTAAAGTGCTGGAGGAAGAAAGCATAAAGGATAACTTCGTAATTACCTATGAATTATTAGACGAAATGATTGACAATGGATTTCCCCAGCTAAGTGAAGTGAAAATATTGAGAGAGTATATAAAAAATAAAGCTCACCAGTTAACAGTGAAAAATATAAAAATTCCATCAGCCATTACGAATTCGGTATCTTGGAGGAATGAAGGCATAAAATACAAAAAGAACGAAATATTTCTGGACGTCATTGAAAGTTTAAACATCATAATCTCGTCCAATGGTACCGTCTTGAGGAGTGAAATTCTTGGGTGCCTAAAAATGAAGTCATACTTATCAGGTATGCCCGAATTGAAGCTAGGATTAAATGATAAACTTCTGTTTAATAAAAATGTGAGCAATTTTAACAGCACAAGTAGTGGCGGTACCGGCAATGCGGGAAGTGGAGTTACCAATTCCAACGCGTCTAACCTCGCCAATGTAAATACCCAGACGAATAGAACCAAGTTAGTAGAATTGGAGGACATGAAATTTCATCAGTGTGTTCGTCTTTCCAAATTTGAAAATGACCGGACCATTTCTTTTATCCCTCCAGATGGCATATTCAATTTGATGACTTATCGTTTAAGTACACATGTGAAACCGCTCTTCTGGCTAGACATTAACATTTCCAAAAAGTCTCTCACCAAAATAGAGTATGTAGTGAAAGCTAAATCGCAGTTCAAAAATAAAAGCATTGCAAATAATGTAGAGTTTCATTTACCCGTCCCGGCTGACGTCGATTCTCCACATTTTCAAACCTACATAGGAAGTGTAAAATATTATCCAGATAAAGATATACTCATATGGAAAATAAAACAATTCCAGGGACAGAAGGAATACATTATGAATGCCCAGTTTGGCTTACCTTCCATCGTGTCAAATGAAAATAAGGACGTATATTACAAGAGGCCCGTAAATGTGAAATTCGAAATCCCCTACTTCACCGTTTCGGGCATCACCGTACGGTACCTGAAAATTATTGAGAAAAGCGGCTACCAGGCTTTGCCCTGGGTCAGGTACATCACGCAGAACGGTGATTACCAGGTTAGAATTTCCTGACGTGCCTTTGGGAGAAAATTCGGAACATCAGCGGTGAAATCTGTGGGAAAGTTTATGCTTCCATTTTGCGCTTCCCTTTTGAGCTTCTCCTATTTTGCTTACCCTTTTTTGCCCAATTGGAAGTCAGGGTGGGTGACCCGTTCGTAATTAGAGCAGGTGCGTATAGTTTGCGCCGTGCCGGACTTCCCGCGCTGCATTATCAGTTGTGACTGTTATCCCTTTGCATGGCGCAGAAATGTCTGGGCTAAAAGGGAAGCGGCGGGGGGAAAATCCCATGGAAAGGACGGCTCCTCCCCCCAACATTCACACGACTGCGCAACGTCATGTGTAACTCCGCATTGCATTTCCGCGCAATGTCTTTTTTGTAATTTCCTCATGTCCACATACCATGTGTGTATGTGAGCACATCCGTAAAAATTTCACCAGATGGAGGAGGCACATTCGGCTCAATAAGAGGAAGATATTTTTTTTTTTTTTTTTTTTTTGCACACATTACACCCCTTTAATTCTCCCCCCCGCAACATAGAATTAAATTTTTCCAGTGATAAAATCTGCCTGTTGTTTCGTTTATTGCTACCCATTCGAACTCGTTAATGTATATATGTTTTCTCCTAGTCACGCATATGAAAACGTGACAGCAGCAACTGGCCTTCTTTTCTCCCCTCCTCAGAGTTAAGACGTCCTCATTCGTTGAAAAAAAAAAAAAAAATGAATGTTTGCCAGAAGTGGCAATTTTTTTCTGCTATCCAGTTTCATTTTATCTTCTTTGTGGGAATATTTTGCAAAATTGTCTCTCGTCTTCCCTTTCGAGGGGCTTCCAGACAGAGTAGACACCCTGGAGGGGTACAGGAGAATCCATCAAAGAGCGCCCCCTTCTGGGGATCACTTGATCAGCGTCACCGCGTCTGTGACGTTGGAGTTCCTCACGAACAGCACTGAATAGCTCAAAACTATATTATGCACTATAAAAAATCAGAGTCTTTAAAATTTTCACGCTTCATGCAATGCGTACAGGTAAAAAGGAGTGTAGTGTGCGAAAAAAAAAACATGTGTACATGTTCATGGAGTGGATGGGGAGAGAATTTTCGCTTCATACGACTGGCATGTACGCCCATATGCCGCTAGGAAAAAAAACAACAGTGGTATGCACCCTCCCCCCATGCAGGGCTTCTACTCCAACGTGTATGTCGAAATATTGGCGCCTTAAATGGCAATTTTTTCGCTGCCTAACGTTTACAACTCGCCTCTTGCACCGCCCGTGTGCACCTCCACATGGCATCGATCTGGGCAACCTCGAGGCCAAAGTAGCGAGCAGCGCTCGTGAGTCCCCTAATTGTACACCATATATTTTCCCGTGGCCGAAAATTGCTTGCAACCATGTATAACTTTGTTTATTGCGAGCAAAAGGTCCTTCTCGGTGATGGTTTTTCTTCTGGCTCTGATGGCAAACATACCTGCCTCCGTGCAGACACTTCTAATATCAGAGCCAGTGCTGTTGGGGCATAGTCTAGCCAGCAGCTCAAATCGAACATCTCTGCTCATATTCATAGTATTCGCGTGAATCTTAAAAATATGGGTTCTACCTTCAAGGTCAGGTAAACTGAATTCTATCTTTCTATCGATTCTACCAGGTCGAACTAATGCACTATCTAACGTGTCGGGCCTATTCGTAGCCATTAGTACTTTGATATTACCTCTGTTATCGAATCCATCTAGCTGATTTACAATTTCTAACATGGTTCTTTGTACTTCATGATCCCCATGTGCACTTTCATCTCCTCTAGAACCTCCTATTGCATCTACTTCATCAATAAATAGGATACATGCTTTTTTCGACTTAGCCATTTGAAATAATTCTCTCACCATTCTAGCACCTTCACCAACATATTTCTGCACAAGTTCGGAACCAATAACACATATGAAACAAGCATCTGTTCGATTGGCGATAGCTCTAGCAGTTAGGGTCTTCCCCGTACCTGGGGGACCATACAGTAGAACCCCTTTAGGGGGATCTATTCCTAATGTTACAAATCTTTCTGGTTGTAGCAAAGGCATTTCTACCACTTCTCTTAACTTTTCTAACTGTTCTTTACACCCCCCAATATCGTTGTAGGTAATATCTGGCTTCTCTTCCACTGTCATCATAGTGACTGTAGGATCTATCTTTGGAGGTAGCAGAATTTGAATTTTGTATTTGGTTCTATCTACCCCTACTCTCATCCCTTCTTCTATATCACTTGGTGCAACCTTATCTCCTAACCCTACCACGAATTTCGCTATCTGTTTAACGTTAATAATGTACTTTGTTTGGTCTGTGTCTGCATTGATAATTTTTGTACATCTAGCTACTTGGAGTGGTTGTTCTTCATTCATCATCTGTTTATCTAACTGTAGGTCCCATTGGTTCGGTAGACATAATCCTGTGTCACTTTCTCTCACTCCGCAGAGCTTGTTAATGCTAGTTACTAACCCGCTTATGTCGGATTCAACCTTCTTGATGCTTTTTGAATACGGTCCAGATCCCTGCAGTGGATATCATGCATATGGTTAGAGGGTTGGATAGATGGAAGGAGGTTCACATGATGCACCTTACCACTGAATCCTGCGGACTCGCGGTTGCAAAAAGGTGTGCGCGCAGTGTACGTGGGTGGCACACTGGAGAGTGAAGTCACAGAATTCACGTATGCATGCACAAATAGCAAAACCAAGGGTGCAATTCTTTCCTTTTTGCGCTTTGCTTTTTCTTACGTAAGATTTCAAGATGTTTATATCTTCGTCATCCAGGGGTTTGGACTGTTTGGGTGCGTCCTCATCCATTGTCGATTCAGCAAGGACATACAAAGAGCGCCAAAGGTAGGAATTCTACTGAAAAAGCAAACCGTGACAATTTCTTGAAGCAGTTTGGGATGTTTCTTTTTTTTTTTTTTTCTTTCTTGGCAAAGCTGTACATAAGTTTCTTTTATTTTTTTTAAGTTATCCCTCTCTATCTGACGGTTTGGATACGTTCGATGGGACTGTTCCGGTTAGAGCCGAACTGGAATGTACATTTTTATCTTATTCTCTTTGGCAATTCCCTCGAAAATCATGCGTACACGTCGCACAAGTGACATGACCGGGTTGGCCCTGCCTCGTGTGGCACGGTGTGTAAGCGAGGCAGTTAAGCGGTTGATCGAAAGCTTCAACCCAAGGCCAATCGTACTTTGACTTCACGCATACGTACGGGTACACTTGCCAACGGGATGATTAAATTCAAAAAAGGGGATTCCCTTTGTACAAGAAAAGTCTGCTTAATTTGTGTAAACTTGTACAATTTGATAAAGAGAGGAAAAAAGTGAAATCGATTAAAAAATTTTACTTTTATACCGCGTTTTGTGCCTCTTTCGCTACCGCTCTACTTTTTTTTTTTTTTTGTTCCATTTTGGATTTATCACCTCTTGCATTGTTTTTAAAATTCAGGGGGACAAAAAGTAAAACATTCATTTGGGGTTTAGTATTAGGGGGAGGAAAAGAAAAATTTCATTGTAAGCACCAGGTGGTAAGTAACAAGTGGGTTGAACTGTAAATTATAAATCAGGAAGTACAAATTACGGACTACAAAATACGGACTGCAAATTACGAAGTCGTCATTACGAGTTTACACCGAATTGGTTCATTTCGAATTTTTCCTTTTGATTTTTTTGTGATGAGAATAATCGAACGTATGGCAGGAGAGAAAACAACTGCCACGACAGAAGCTGGGGTGTACACAAATAAGTGTCCTGCATTGTTTGGAAAAAGCCACCTACTCAGTGGAGGGAGGTATACCAACGTATACTGCCCTTCTTTCCATCGTGGACGAATGTGTACAGGGAGAAAACAACCCCACCCAGTAAAATCCCATTCGGTCACTCCACAGCTTATTCGCAAAGAATTTTTTGCATGTCATGGAAGACGACCGTCGGAGTGAAACTACACCCATGTGGTGAAAACGAGAAAAACTAAACAGGTTAGTTCTGGTCGTGGCTTCCTCCCTCCGCATTTAGTGACCCAACAAAAGCATCACTAACTAGTATTTGTAACCGGCTTGCTCTTCGCAACCTGCGCGCATGGCCATTTGGAAAAAAAGAAAAAAAAAGTTCGCAACGGTGGATGCCTATGAAAATAGACACAGAAATCAGTATAAGCTACTCCCTGGCAAGTAGACAACTTCTGGCTGATGGCCCCCCACATGCGAAGCAATTCATTTGTTGCATTCGAAAAACATAAAAGAACGGTTGAGGGACTTTCATGTATATTTCCCTTTTGTTACCCGTTTAGCTCCGTTTTAATTTTACGACGTGCGCCTACCCCAGCGCTTTCCCGGGAAAGTATCCTTTAAATGTGCTCCTCATCCTCGCACAAAATAGCAATTTCCATTTCGTTCCCCTAAATCACATATCCATTTTCAAAACATCTAAGAAAAAGGAAATAAATGTACTGTATAAGATATTGTTACCTGAAGAAGAAATTTCATTATGTAGAAGACGGAAAAAAAAATGAAAAACCATGCGGTAAAAGCTCCACCTTTAGGTACCTCAGCCCATTGGAGGTTTATTTTATGCCGCTCTTCTTTCGTTCTTTATTTTCGCCCACAAAAGTAGCAACCATACGGTTTGAAGCATTCCTTCTGATCAAAACAGCACAGCAAAAAAGGAAAAAAAAAAAAAACGCACATGGCACATCACACATCCCTAACGGGGAAACTCCTATTTACTTGCATAGCGATGCAACACCTGGACAAAAGCCCCTAGTTTGATAAACAAGTACGCAGTGAATAAACTGAGCGTCAATGTGTTCATATATATTTAAAGTTTATACATAATGCGGTGCGTGCAGGGGAGCCTAAATATGTGTTCCAAAAAAGTTCATTTGGAAGGTTTGCAAACGGTGTAAGTACTGACGCCGAGGCTGCAATTTTCCAACTTCGAAATGTCTGGAATTAATAATCTTATTATATGCAGGGGTGGGATGGGGCAATTCAGCCAAGCACCGTAAAAAGTGGTTTCCCTTTACTCTGCATTGTATATGTCTAGCCTTTTCACTAAACTTTAGAAAAAGGGAATTTTTTTTTTTTTTTTTTTATTTATTCTATAACACTGGGCAATGAAATTCTTTTTTAGCGCATGAAACGGACGTGTACTTCGCAATTTTTTTCTTTTCACTTTTTTGATTAAAATGTAAAGTTAGTTGCTACACGGAGGTATGCATTCTAGGCCAAAAGACGTATTTCATTTTAACTTGTGCATCTTTTCAAGCTTTGTAATTTTTTCCTTTTTTTTGTTCGCCTCGTTGCGTAAACATATGTAAGAGGGGCTGGCTGTTACCTTCGTCACCTGTTTGTACATTTAGCGAATGTTAGGCACGACATCTCAGCAGTTTCTCCGTTGGTTCGTTTTTTTGCTTATCCACCGTTTATTTACTACTCCTTTTTTTATCCCTTTGTCGCAATTTGTTTACTTTATTTACCTTTTTTTACTTCATTTTTTTATTTTATTCCTTTCTTTTTTCCGTGTGTTTGGCGTCATTCATCGCATAAATATGTCATCCCCCAATCCGCATGTCGTATTGAAATGTATATAAAAAAAAACCATCATATCATAACAAGTATCTCCCGGCGCCTAAATTTTACCTTTGCGAACATGGGACGAAAATAAGCAAATAAGAACAGAACGCACAGTATATAGTAACATTGCAAGTATTATATTTTACCTATACAATTACTAGTGAAGCGTGTACTTTGTGTGGATAGGTAAAAAATTTGTATATATTATATTATTTATATATATTATGTAGATATATATTTTTCCGCATATGGCATTATTTTTTAAAAGAATTCATCGCGTTTTTTTTTTTTTTTTTCCCATTTTTGAGCGAAATAAACGAGAAAAAATTCCATTCGACGATTTTACTTGTTAGCGCCTTTTTTCCATTTGGTTAAACAAGTTTGACCATAAAAAAATTAAATTTGCAAAAAATAGCATATATATGAGGGAACATAGCACATACATGCGTATACGTACCTGTGTGAACATAAAATAAATATCCACATATACATACGAACATTTACGTAGGTATAATTATATACGTACGTGTAGTACCCCTTGCATGCCTTCGAAAATGACATATTTTTAACTCCAAGCCGTCTCCCCTCATCATCCCCATTGCGTACTTCCATTTCGACGAAATCGAGAACGTGAACTTTGACAAATCTGAGCAACATCATTACAGTTGAGTTAAGCAATTAAAACCCATATGAAGCGAGTAAACAGGGGAGGAAGCGAAAAAAAAAAAAGAAAGGAAAAAGAACAAAAATTTAAGATGATGGTTAACCATCACAACCATGATGTAGAGGGCAGCGTAGAAAATGCCGAAAAAAAAAAAAAAGAGGAATCCTGTCAAATAAGTGAATCCACTTTATGTCATCCCAGCACTGGTAATGGAACGTCAGGTCTTTTAGAAAGCATTCATAATGGCGAAAATTTGCATCACCGGAGGGAAGATTTAGTAGGTAAGAAGGGCAATTTGCTTGGTGGGCGAACAAGCCAGCATGTGAATCACATCAACAGTGAGCATTCTAAGGAAGAATCGGAGAAAAGCGAAAGGGGGAACGCCCAAAAAGGTCACACCAAAAAGGACACCAAAAGGGAAACCAAAAGGGACACCAAAATCGACATCAAAATCGACACCAACGGGGACACTGAAAATGGCGACCAAAGAGAGGTAGCCTCGAATGAACTGAGCAAACAGAAATTCTGCGAGGGGCCGGTTGACCACACCCAGGGGAGTGGAACCCCGCAGCATAGCGAGCAGATAAATAATGATCATACAATAAAAATGGACGACGTGGAAGGGGCACAGGATGAACTCCAAATTGAGGCCGCTCACGTACCACCAAGCGACGCGGCGGATGCTCTACCAATCGAGGAGTACTATTTGCAGAAGGATAGTGAAGATGAATCTTTAAGAGGCACGCTCTATGGATCGATAATTGACTCCTTAAACAGTTCCCAAATCGGCTCTCATAACGATTCCCAAAGCAACCCTGTAAACAATCCCCCCCAGGACAACCATGACGAAACCGTTGAAGCGGTCGTGGCCAAAGAAGAAATGATCAACATTACCAGGCTTTACCACACGGGCATAAACAAAATAGAGGCAGCCATCGCCCTATACAGATACTATAAAAACAACTTCAATCAGCGGTTCAGGGAGCAAATGAACAAATACAACCCACTTATCTACTTCTACAGTAACAACAACTTTGAAGATCACATCAGTGTGGATTATATCAACTACAAAGACAAAATGAATGCAATGAAGACAGAGAGACTATCGAGACTGGTGCTGTACATAGAGGACATAAACCAAATAAAGCAAGCTCTAAAGGTTAAGCAGCTTAATGAACTCAAATTAGAGGATGATGAAAAGAAGGAATATTTTTACGATGCCAATGAAGACATAGAAGACTTCTTCATTTTTGATAACACCGTTTCGTATCTTAATAATGACGTTGAAAGCATATTTTCCGAAGCTGAAAATTCTTCATTTTTTAAGGATGATGCAAGCATAGATAATTTCTTAGAAGAGCAGAAAAATAAAACCAATGACGAATTTAATATGCCAAATTTATTTAATCGCTTTTCTTTAAAAAACCATGATATGTTCGATATTAATAAAAATTTGTGTGCAATATATGCTCGCACTCCTATGATAATTAAAAAGTTTGCCGAAAAAATCAACTCCTACAGCAGCACAGAAAAAACACATGCCGATTTGGATGGCACAAAGCAAGACGGAGTAAACTTTCCACGTGAACATAAAAATAAGGAAAATTATAATTACTATCCTGCTGCTCGTTCTCGTGAAAATAATCAAAATTTGGATGCCTACATTCAGTTTCATTGCGATAAATGGCAAGAAAATATGTACGATATAGTTGAAGTAAATAGCCTCGAATTTGATTTTAATCGTTTAAGATGCAACATAATGTAACTATGTTTTCCCCTTTAGGATAATGCAAAATGTGCGTTTAAGGAGATATGCAAAGGTGTATTTCCTTTTTTTTTTTTTTCTTTCTTCGCGGGCTGCGGTTCATAAAGGTTTTCTATGGAGGGCAGCTGAGTTGAATTATAAAACTCCTTCAATGCTACAACACAGCGTTGTTGTAACTTTCCGCTTATCCCTTATCCGAAGAATAAGGATTTATTTCATCTTTTTTTCCTTTGTTATTACACCCAGAAAATTTTTGCATCTTTTAAATATGCAGAATTCTCCGTTTTCAATTTCCTACGTCAATTTTCGTTTTTTTTTTTTTTTTTTTTAATTTTTAGCTATTTGGCTGCCTGGCCCTGTTGCCATCCATTTGTCCATATGCCCCCGAGAACTTTACACATTTAATTCCGCTTAAATTTTGCTAAAGCGAAAATAATTACCATGGTTAAAAGTAGCGCGGTTAACCGCAGTGTCGCTCAAGAGGTGAGATCTACAGAGGGAAACATATTCCTTCGCGCATTGGTGCTGTCCGTTCATTTCGCTGCTCACTCGCAAGTGCGGATATGCACTGTAGGAACCCCTCTCGGCATCCCCAGAGGAATTAGTCATGATTACAGGAATAAAATTGTGGCATTAGAAAATAACTTGCATCGCGTGTGCACAATAGCCATCCTTATTCGCATCAAAAAAAGGGAACTGTTCAAATTCAAGCCTATTGCCGAGACCAAACATTTGGTAAAAACGATAGCGCTTCATTCAAAATGGGTTGGTTAACAACTGGGCAAGACGCGCGCCATGCGCACAAGCTTCTGCATTTACTGTTGCAGTTGCACGTAAATTTGCACACATATTTAAAAGATGGCGACGATTAAAAGCAAACTAAAACGAAAAAAAGAAAATTAAATCCAGCGGAGGTGGCGAAGGGGAAACGCCTCGTAACCCATTCGAACCATTTGACCTACCTGGTCATAAATATGCACACCACATATTGCACTTTTTTCTTTTTTTTTTTTGGCGAACAGATCGACAAGGTAAAATGTTATTTTTTTTTTTTGGAAAATTTCTCCACAATTTCTCTCCCATGTGGATCATCATAGGTAAGGGTCTTCAAATAGTGAACGATGTCAACTCTATCTTGAAAATTTGAAATTCCTTTAAAGTTCATACCAATGTTTGCTTCTACAAAATCTTTGGGGTTCCTCATGTACTTCATTAAATTTAAGTCGTTCCATATAATGCCTGACGCGTACATATCAGGTGATACTTGAAAAGGCGAATTGCCTTTGCTCATTCCAGCAGTTCTGTTATAAACATTAAATAAAGAGGGACCCCAACTTGTGAACCCTGAATTGGATTGTGTGTTGTCTGGGGCTATGGAGTGACATTGCTTACAGTGCTTCTTGAATAGCTTCTCCCCTTTTACTTTGTCTCCCTTGGGTAGTACAAAATCGTTTGGTAGCTCATCATCTATCGGGTTGTTCTTTTTATTCCTGGCTAAATTCATCTTTCGGTTTATACGCGGTGTTTGTTCGGTATGTTCGTGGGGTAGTTGAGGCGTTAATTGGGGGGTTAATTGGGATGCTTCTTTAGGGCTGCTGAGGGGGCTGTTTCGCAGGTTCGCTGGACAGTTGGCTCGTTTTTTTTTTCTGTGCTAGCTGTATCAGCCCCTGTTAGGTTCAACTTATTCTGGCAGACGAAATTTCATGCCTGAATTTATTTTTTACTTTTGTTGCATCACAACATGTTCCTATCTTTTCTTTTCTTACTTGACCATCTCGTCAGGTTTTGTTCTTTTTGTACTCCCTGCCTGTTCGTGTATTTTCTTTTCCTGCTTCACTTACTGCTGATTTTTTTTTTTTTTTTT